TGTATTCAATGGTTTCTCACTCACATTCTTAAGGATTTATTTCTTTTTATTGGAGAGGCAGAATTATGGAGAAAGAAGGAAAGACAGAGAGATCTTCCATCTGCTGGTTCACTTCCCAAAATGTTGCAACAGTCTGGATTGGGTCAGGCAGAAACCAGAAACTTCTTATGTGTTCTGCCATGTGAGTGTCAAGAATCTAAGCACCTAGGTCAACTTCTACTGCTTTCCCAGGAACAGTAGCTGATTGGAAGTACAGCAGCTGGGGCATAAACCAGTGACCATATAGAATGTAAGCATTACAGGTGGTGGCTTAACTCACAGTACCACAATTCCAGGCACTCTCATTCACCTTTGTAGTCCCAGAATTTAACAGTTACTGTTCCATTAAAAAAATCTCCTACAAATTTTTTCTTTTAGTGAATACATACTGAATCGGCCAGATATTCCTGAATGTATTCCTGTATACCTGATAGGACAAAATATGACTGGATCTCCATGAAAATTTGCCTTCCATGGGTATTAGGACTGTTCCTTAACCAGTTTATGTGTAGTTTCCTGCAACTTACTGAATGAAGTATCACTTTTCTTTGTGTCAAATTGGTTTTCAACTCTGGATATTCAAAAGTTAGCCTTATGGCTCTTGAGGGATAAAGCTTTGGGTCAAGTGGCAAATCACTTATTTCAGAATCTAGGTTTAGCTGGCTTTAAATTTCATAGTGATTTATACACTGATACTCCCCAAAGATGACTTTGTTAGTCTATTCTAAGAATGTAATAGTTATCTACTGGATAAGAACAACAGCCAGGGGTGGGCCAGACTGAAGCCCAAAGCCAGGAACTCAAGCTGGGTCTGCCTTGTGCTTTTCAGGGCGTATGTAAACAGAAAAGTGGAGTTGGGAGTGGAACCGGGACTGGTTGGAACCCAGGCACTAAAAAACGGGATGCAGTTGTGCCAAGTAGGGTCATAATTGCTGAATTAAATGCTCACCCCAGAGGACATTTATAATATACCTCTTGATGACTAAAACCGAGGCTTCAAGATTGTTTATCTCCTCAGGCTGCCGTAACAGCACATCATAGATGGGTAGCTTAAATGACAGAAATTAATTTTCTAATCATTCTGGAGGCCATCAGCTCCAGACCACAATGCCAGTATAATTGTCTTCTTGTGAGGATCCTCTGTCTTGTCTTTTGGCCAAGTGTTCACTTCAGTGCACACCCATGTAAGCAGAATACTGAGACACTAGTGTCCCCTCTTCTCATAAGGGTCCTGATTCCCCCCACTCTTAGTACCCTATCTAAACATAGCTTACTCTTCAATACCATCCCACTGTGGATTGGAGCTTCAATATATGAATTTCGGGGCTACTCACATATTCATTTCATAACAGAGTAAACCATCCTTCTACAGGTACTTAAAAACAATGTTAGCTATTTGTCTTAAAATCGTCTTTGTTGCTTTTTTAATTTTTAAAATCTATGAATTTGAAAAGCAGAAAAACAGAAATGGCTGGGGGTGGGCAGAGGGAGAAAAAGAGAGAGAAACACGTTTCCATCTGCTGTTTTACTGCCCAAATGGCTGCAACAGCTAGCAGCAGGTCATGCTGAAGCCAGGAGTCTGGAACTCCACCCAGTTCTGCCACGTGGGTACAGGGTCCAAATACTTGCCCCATCACTTGTTATCTTCCTAGGCACATTAACAGGAAGTTGGGCTGGCAGCGGAGAAGCTGGGATTCAAAGCCAGTTCTGCTATGGGGTGCCCTTGTCACCTGCGGCAGCTTAACCAGTTGCATCACAACTCCGGCGCCTCTTTGTTGCTTTTTATAGATAGGTACTTTTAAATTAGCATTCTAAAAAGCAACCAATTCTAATTGGTTCTCACTGATTATCTATGATAAACTTCCCCAAGCATGATTCTTCCCTTAACAGTTATTTTTCATATATATGTTTATATTTTGTAACTGTTTTTGGTGAAGGCAAACAATGTAAGGCCTCTCTCAATCTCTTCAAAATTTCTCACCAAAATAAATGAATAAATAAAACAGAAACCGAAAAAAAAAAAAAAAAAGAACCAGGCCCTTGATGCTTCTGGCAGTTTTATTCTAACACAAGTAGTGCCCAGATTGTAATTCTGATAAGTATTTCAGTTCTTCCTTGAAAAATTAAATTCACAAAACAATTGATTATCAGTTATAAATGGCAAAAACACCATCTGGTTTTCAAAATTGGTTAAATCCATGCAGCAAGGGGAAAAAAATGTTGGAACTTGTAGTTGGCGAGGAGTTCTCGTCCACGAAGCAGAAAATGACGCGCTTTACTACGAGAAAGCCAGAGTAGTCATAACTTGTACTTAGCGGCTGCGGGAATTTGATACGTTCGTCACATGTTCCATATGTTAAATTGCTTGGCGAGATCTTCAGTGTGAAAGAGCTGGGGGCGGGAGAGGAGCATGGCTAGTGGAGGGAGTAGCAACAGCTCAACCCTAAAGTCTCACCTCTGCATGTTTCCAGGTGGACAGGCCTCCCCGTGCTAAGGATGTATCCACCTGTTTTTAACCCGAGAAATTAGATGTGCAAGTTCCCTAGCCTCACGGAGCAGGTGGCATTTTTGTGGAAACTTCTGAAGCTATTTGCATTTTTCTAGTGAGGTAAGTCATACAGCATTAGCATTTCCTATAGAAATGTCCCATGTTGTTCTTTGCCAACTGGAAATCTGAGTAGGTGTTCGTTTGAGGTGCCAAGAGAATGAAAGGAGATGAAAACACCCCAGATCTTCCAATGTCCCCATACGTGTTCCTAGTGTAGGAGGACTGGGGCCTGGCTAGATTCTCTTAGAGATTCCGCCTCATGAAGAATGCTTTTCTTTAGGAGGATACTGTGATTCTGTTATTTTTTTTAAAATGCCTCTGCATTGCTGGCATATTTTCACCTTATGTTAAAAATGTAGCTATCCTTTACTTATTATTCATGCATTGTAATGCAAAACTTACTCATTCACTTAGATACTTCTTGAGGCACAGTACAGCATAGTGGTTAATAGCAGAGTCTCTGCAACTTAGAAATGATCTTAGGGCAATTGCAAATGTTTCTAATCACGTTTAAAAATATATGAAATGGGAGATAATAATAGCCTGCACTTTAGGGTTTGTTTTAAGGATTAGCTGAGATTATTTACATAAAATATCTCATAAGAAGTCAATAAGCACAAGAGCAACAACGATAATAATAATAATCCTGGGAAACAGTCCCATCGCCCCGTGCAAGGGGGTTCCGAAAGACAGGTCTGCCTCGACAGTTTCATGTACCACTTTCAGCATGCATAGGACCCCACTTGTTCTTGAATCCTGAATTGAGTGGGACTCTGCACTACCTCTGAGCCAGGTAGCTTTGGCTCAGTCGGTGATAACAGGCAGGCTTTCGCCAACTGGGTGTTAGGCTGTGGTGTGAGGTGGCTTCCTGCCTCAGGTCGTGCAGTCTGCCTGAGCAAGCAGTCCCCCACGTCTGGAGGATTGCCTGCAGTTCAGGCTTCCAGGCCTGTAATTACAGCGCAGACTATTCAGGGCTGCGAAGACAGGGTAGTCTCGAAATTAGTTTATGCATAATGGATAATGGGAGGCTGGTTTTAAGTGTAACTCATTCGGTGAGTTGGCAGATCTTGACTTCCTTTTTGATATGTGTTGTTTATTTATTTATTTATTATTTATTTATTTTGGCGAGATGAGGACAGAGGGCCAGAGAAGTCATTTGGTGCAGGTGTTCCAGACCTCTGAGCTGAGGCTTCACAATTTACATTCAGTAATCTCTTGGTCATTTAGCCACAGATAATTTGTCATGGTTTGTTTTAGCTGTTGTGATATTGATATTTATTATGCAAATTGTATTTCCTACATCTTATTGTTCTGCATCCTATGAATACTTAAATTATTATAAACCTTTGCACTTAATATGGCTCGTCCTTCAATTTGATGCTTGAGTAACAGAGGGTCAGAGCGCACCCGATCTTCTGGAGGGGAAGAAAATAAGTAATTAAAAAGCAGGCAAACGAGAGAGACGGCTGCCTGGCGGAGAAGAAAGCCAAGGTAATTTCGGTGCTGGGAGAGCGAGTACGGGGAAGCCAGGCGCTTCAGCAGACAGCCTCTGCCGCCCGGGAAAGCCGGGGCACCTGTTGGTCCCCAGCCTTGCGGGGGAGCCTGGGCTTCCGAGCAGGGCCAGTGGGCTGCAGCCCCGAAGGAGGCACAGGGCACGTCCTCCCGGTCCCCAACGCTGCCCGCCGCCCCGAAGCTTGAGCCGACGAGGATTTTGCTCACACTGTGTATGTGTTCCTTCGTGTCACAGGCATATTACACCCGTACCAGGGAGGAGACCCTCTGCGAGCTGGGGGGAGGCGCAGTGCAGCGGTCCGGATCACCTTCCCGGAGACCCTACCGCCTAGACACCGGCTGCAGGAATCCCGACCGACACCCAACTCCACGGCTCCGCGCTCGCTACTAAGCCCACGTCCACCGCTAGGCTGTGAGCGGGCTCTCCCGCTCCGCCGGGCGTGCGGAGCACGCATGCACTTCTCCCAGATTGTTTTGTCAATCCGGGGACCTGCATTCGCACTCTCCACTCCCGCACGCCCCCCAAATCTGTTCTTGCGGTGCAATTGGCAACGTCTGGGGTCCGGGCCAGCTGCGCTCGGCGAGCCCGCGGAGGAGCCCTCTCCTAGCTAGGGAGGCGCTGCGGACGTTGGTCCGAGGCTGCGATTGCTATCAACAGCGCCGATCAAGGTGTCCGGCCAGCCAGGCCCGCCCCCTCGGAGCCCGAGCCGCGGCACGCTGGCCGCCCCGGAGAACACTTCTTTCTTGGATCGGGGGAGAGAGAAAAAAGCGAATCCAAAATGTAACATAAACATATTTGCATACGCCCCGCCCCTTGCCCCGCCCCCGGTGGCGCGGGCGCGCGGCCGAACTCGGGCGCCAGGGGGCGGGGTGCGGGAGGGGGCGAGTCCGCCGGGAGCCGGGTTGGGCTCCCTGTACTGTGATTGGTCTGCTCGGGCTCCGCCTCCGGCGCATGTCATTAGCATCTCATTAGCGGCCCGCTCGGGCTCGGGAGGCAGCCACCGCCGCCAGTCTGAGGCAGGTGCCCGACATGGCGAGTGCTGTGCTGCCGAGCGGGTCCCGGAGTGCGGCGGCAGCGGCGACGGCGGCGGCGCCTCCCGGGCTCCGGCTCCGGCTTCTGCTGTTGCTCCTCTCCGCCGCGGCACTGGTCCCCACAGGTAGGTGTGGGCACCGGCCATTGGGCCCCTGAATCTCTTCAGGCACCCCCAGGAGCCGTAGTCACGGTGGTGGGGGGGAAACGTTTCCATGACAACCTTCCCCCACTTCCTAAATGCGAAAGGGAGGGAGTGTGGAGAAGGAAAGTCGAGGCTGAGCTCGGAGGAGCTGAGGGGACGGTGGTCCCCTCTGCCCTGCCCGGCGGGCTCTGAGGGGGACCCCTCCGGGGTGGCTGCACCCTTACCTTTCCTCTCCGGGCTGGGCGCGGAGTGGAGTGAGGATGGGGGTCGGGGGGCTCCAGAGTATGGGGGAAGGGGCTGGGCCGAAAGCAGCCGCAGACCTCCCGAACCCTCCTCAACTCGCTGTTGTCCCCGTAACTTGCAGGTCCTCGCGTCCCCCCAGCGCTGCCCAGGGTCCCCCCCACCCTCCAACTCCGGCCAGCCCCCCGTGTCTCCATCCCCGAAGCCTGCCCGCCGTGGACCGGCCGCCTCCGGCGTGGTTCCTCCCCGGCTTCCCAGGACATCCCGGACTTGCCGCGTCCGCGCTCGCCCGCGCTTTGCCTTCCTCCTCCGGCCCCGTGGCGGAGCTGCACGCCTCCCGTGTTTCCCTCCGCCCCCCTCGGCTGGGCTGCGGGTGTCCCTGGCCCGGCTCCAGGCGGGGAAAGTTCCCGGGGCCCGGCCCCGCGGGGCGGGAGCCGACGCTCGCTGTCGCCGCCTCTGCGGGCAGGCGCCGGGCGTCCGCAGCCCGTGCGCCCCGCGGCGTCCTCGGCCGCGAGTGGGGACGCTGGCCCTTTCGGGGCGGTGCGGAGGCGGGCGTTCGCGCGCGGCCTCTGCGGCCCCGGGCGGGCACCCCGCGGGCTCCGGGCGCCCCGCACGGGGAGAGCCGCCTTGGGAAGGTGCCCGGGGGCGGCCGCGCACGCCCGGCGCCTTTCGGCAGGAGCTCCGTGTGTGTGGCTTCCCCGTGTGCTGGGCGCGTTGGCGCGGTCGGGAAAGAAGAGGGCAGTGTTTGCATTTGCTAACAAAAGGCAGCCCGGAGCTCTTCTTCCCCAGCGGAAAGGCCGTCCGCGCTGGCTGCATGCACCCTGCCTTGCCTTCCCGCCACCTCGCCGCGCTTGGCTGCAGCGCCCCGGGCCCCGCGCCCCTTTTGGCCGCCTGCTGCGGGCCGAGGGGGAGTCAGCCACCGGTGCAGGAGGGGGTGCAGTAGGCGCAGAGCCCCTCCTTGCAGCTCCGGAGCTGCAGGACCCGGGAGCAACAAGTGGGGCGGAGGACGCCGAGAGCTCAGCGCCCCCCGGCCGCGGAGCCCCCAGCCCCAGGCGGGCTGCGCGCGGGGCCGCCGTTGGGCTCCGGGGGCGCCTCTCCGCTTGAGCTGTGCCTTTTGTTTACACGCTAGAGGACACACAGTTATGTAAACACCGCAGGAGGCAAGATGTAGAAAATGAGCTGTCTGGGTGGTGCTAGTTTTGCGTTGTGGGGATGCGGGGCTGGTTACCTGTCCCCAAACAGGTTGTTTTTTTTTGGTTTTTTTTTTTTTTTTTTGGTGGGGTGAGCATTGGGACTCTGCAGGGGTGGGAGGCTTGGCTTCAGTTTCTGCGTTGAGGACTTTGTCCTATCATGCCAGTGTCTTGTTTCTAAATGCTGTTGATGTATTTTATTTTTTCCCCTCTGTGAATTCTTAATTTTTGACTTAGGAGATGATGGGGTTCAGCCCATGCAGGTGTGGTTACAGCTTCATTTCGGGTGATGTCTGCGACTGGACGGGTTCAATAAAAACGTTCCTCAAAGAGATCCCGCCCTCGTGCTGCTGCATTGTAAAAAGCGCCAGTGTCAGTTAAACGTGAGCACGTGAGTTAAGGCTCGGGAACTGGCGCATAATAGAGGCAACAATAGACTTGTATTGCTGCAAGAAAAAAAAAAGTGTGGAAAGGGGTTGAGAAGCTCAGGTCGGGGCATTGCCTTTCGACCAAGAAGTGGGAGCCCTGCGCTGCCGCTTAGCCACGAGGTAGGCACCCAGCCCGCCTCACCTCTTGAGCCTGCTCCGGAAAGCACCGGGAGTGGCAGCAGCACTCTGTAACTGTAGCGATGAGAAGTTGCTTTCCTGGCTAGCGATCTATATATATGCCGATTTAGAAAGGAGCGGTCTGGAACTCTAGCGTGCATGTCAAAGCTACAGGAACATTCTGTTGCCAGTTACCATGGAAGCAGCTTCTTGCTCTCGTGTACATCCCTGTTTGTATGCCGGTTATCAGACTGTGTTCAAATTAGAAAGTAATTGGCTTTGATTTGTAGTGAGGGGGCTGCGACTTACTTTACGTTCCTTTTTTTTTTCTCTCCGAGTGCGTGTTTTGTACGTGTTGAATTTGAGAAGAGGATCTTGGACCTGCCGTAGGTCCCATTTTGCAGGGAATAGAATTTCCAGTGGGTGGCTTTTCTTCTTAGCCATCCTCTTTGAGCTTTTTCAGAAGCCTCCAGTGCCCACTCCTAGGATTAGAGAAACCTGTTGGTGAGCCTCCTCTCTTCATTCGGCTTGTTTCTTTTATCTTCTTGCTGGGAAAACGAAGAAGGGCCATTGTGCAGTAGGTCCTGGTTTCTTCTGTAACTCAAGTCCAGCATCCCCACTGCAGCCAAAATGGGATTGGCTAAGTTTACTGCGCAGTGCTAGTCGTGCCTGTGGGCTTGTTATGTTTAAGGTGCACGCATGCTGTTGTGTTCCATCCCCCGCGAAGCAGGGGCGCATTCTCTTACCTGCTTTGAGGATGAGAGGAGAGGGCTGCCGGGAAGGGGGCTTGTCCTGGGGAAGGGAAGCCCTGGGGCTGAGTTTCCCTTGCCGTAGCCTGTTAGGGCTCTTAGACCCCCGGTAGGGACTTTACAAAAGTGCCGCCCTGCTCTTGCTGCCTTCCCCTGCATCAAATTGAATAGCGGCAGGAGGGACTTGCACTTGTCTGTGATAGCTTTGATAAAATATCCCTCATTAATGCCACTTTATATTTACAGTGTGTCACTGGAGACGCACAAGGCTTCATTTAGTGACTGGTGTGACGAGACAAGCTTGCATTATTTGCCCGGGACGTTTTGGAGGAACAAGAGACCCATTGAGAGTAATCTTTTGAAATGAACAAATACGAAAAGGGGGGAAATAAAAGAGCAGGCAGTCCTGTGGAACAAAGAGCTTTATTCATATGGATGTTGTACATGCTTTATCCAGTTTTCCCCAGTGGCCCTCCTGGTTAAGGAGAGTGGGTCGGGGAAGACACCGATGGGCAGGACACTTTCACTTCCTCTCTCACTTCCTGACTTTATGTGCTTATCGGAGTTGGTCACTTGAATCAGTGCCTGCTCATCTTTCACCACTCTAAGTTCCCAGAAGGTAATGGGTTCTTGAGTCTCAAAGGGGGATTTGGAAATCCAATCTCCCTGCTGGAGTGTCATCAGAAGGAAGTGTGGCTACCTGTTGAGGTTGATGGTCATTGAGGATATGTTGGCCAAAGGGAAAGAGATGTCACTTTTCTTTGACATGTGTCAAAAAGTGGTTGATAGTCCGTGTCAAATTGGTAAGAAGATGCCTTATAGTCATCCTACTTATTTTTAAAGAAATGTGATGAATGCTAAAATCCAAATTTTCTTCATTATTATGGTGTTTCTTGGGGTTTTTAGTGACTCTCGTTACACCTGATACATCCTAGTGTCATACCTGAGTGAATTTTTATTTTTCTTTGGCCTGTAATGCTAAATGATTTTTTTTAGGCTTTTAAAATGGATAATACTGCTCTGAATATAAACTGTCTCATGCTCCTTGGGTTTCTGCAAGTGACATTTTAATGCCTAATAATTGGCCATTTAGAATTTACATTTTAAAAATGTTTGTGTGTGTGTTTTAACAAAAGGCCTGTTTTTATGTGGGAAAATAACTTTAAATTGGACCAATCTAATCCATGTTATGATTTGAATGGAAATTTACCAGCATTTGAGAAAGATTGTGAGAAATAAATCCAGAGGATTGAAGTGCCGTGTATCTTTGTTGGGAAGTATAATACTGACCATTGCGTTGGGCAATTTTAACTGAAAATCCAGCACGGAAAGGAGAAATCACACAGCGACATCTGTTGCAGAATTGAAAATTTGCTGCTTTGAGTTGGAAGCAATTAGCTCCATATAAGCACATAATGGTATCTGTGTATGTGTGTGTGTTGATAGAAAAATGTGTGTACACATGCTTATATATGCATTTATATGCACATTACACAAAATCTCATACTCAAGATTCATGTTCACTTTAAAAGGAATTTAATAGAAAAATGTCATCTTTTAGCGCAAAAGCTCTTTTTTAAAAATAGTACCCTTTTTAAAACTAGTAGAGATTCTTGTAATCATGGAATTTCACAAAGGGGAATGATACTAGAAATCATCTTGTTATATCTCATTATCTGGAAATGAAGAGGCTAAAAGCCCAAGGAAAGGGACCTTGCTCGCAGCTGACTTGAGGCTAAGTGAGCTGCAGATCTTGGGGACAGGTCTCTTGATGTCCAGCCAGAGGACCTTCTGTTCCACCTCCTGGCAGGGATGCCCAGTGCTGGAGAGGGAGCGCGGGTAGACATTCTCTTGGCTACAAATACTTGATATTCTGAAGGCAGCAAGATTAATAGTTGCTGTAGGTAATAAAACCGTGGATCAAAGGGGTGGCCTCTAGGTAGAAAGGCCCAGTTCTCAGTAACATTGTCTTGGTGTTGACAAATTATTCTGAAACCTGTGGACTTGATTTGGCAGCCACCATACCAGTGTCATCCAAAATGTCATCGCAGAGCAGAACTCCAGCTTTGTGGCTGTGACAAGTGAGGTATTCCATAATGCGGATCTGATTTTGAAGATTTTCATTTCTGTTAATATTTACAGCAGGACTGGTTTCATATAACTGAGGGAAAAGGACGGCTCCTTGGGTCAAGCGTGAGTGCGTAGCTGGATTGGCTTTAGCAGATGCTCGTCTGTTCTCATTAACAGGAAAAGCTGAG